GGTGGTGTGAAAAACTTATTATGACTTCAGAACGGGGTGAAAATAGCTATTTCCTCCATGAATTTATTACCTGGGCTATATGAACATTCCCTAATTCAGAACGTGTTGAGCCTAAGTGGCAGACTCGCATGCTTCGAAATCTTATGTGTCAAAATTACATGTTTTGTTATTAGGCTTGGATAAATTTTAATTTACTTTTAATTTAAAAATAATTAAGTTCGGATTACCATAAATATATTGATTTATTTATGATCATTTTAGATGTATTAATTATATTTTAATATAATTTCTTATTATAACTATATTGAATTGTAAATTTATTTTAAAATTTGATAACTTTTGTATTTCTTATCGGTTTTACATATATAATATATCAAATTAATCATTTTTTGATGAGTTTCGATTTGACATCCATATTATATATATAAAAGATATATATATATATATATATATATATATATATATTATTTATCTTTATAATAATAATAAATATATTCATTAAAATTTAGTAGCAAAATAAAATTATTTCTCAATTAATATATTTATGTTCACTGTAGTTATATGCTATAAGTTAGAAAAATTATTATAATATAACACATGTATGTCGCACAAGTAACAAGTGTCATACTAAAATACATATTAATATATATTTCTTTATAAAATGTTTTTAATTTTCAACAATTCTCATTAATTTTAAATTGTAAGAAAAAAATTTAACAAGTACATGTGTAATACACGGGCGTTGTACTAGTGTGTATATATATATATGCTAGCTCCACATTAGTGTAGTGTATATATAATATGTAATAAAGATGAATAATGTACAATACAGGGAAATATTAAATAAATAAAGAAAAGAAAAATAAATACATAAAGCTTTATGTATGATCATAAGGAAAATATTTATTTAATAATGCATAAAATTTTAAATAAAATAATATTCTCTCTAATTTTTTTGTTTAAATTTCACTATTAAAGGTTTTTAGCTCGCACACATGTAATTCATACTTAAATTATATGTTATTCGACACAACTTACTCATAAATAATAAAGTGCAAAATATTAACAAAATATTATCACTACGATTATGTCATGATAATTGATAACTGTTAGTTGAAAATAATTAATCAAATTCAGTTAAGAAAAATAAAAATAAAAATAAAAATAAAGACAATGAAAAAACTAGCCAATGATTATTGGAAAAATTCAAAAAAAGTAAAAGTATGAAGGGAATAGAAACGACATCTTTTCATACTTGAATTGTCCATCTACATGAAGGGCTATAATCATTTTGTTGTTAGGTTGTTTTTGGGTGTAGGTTGTGTTTTTTATGTGCTTCTCTGTTTATTTTTATTATCTCGTTGGGATCTATGTATTCTCTTATTGAAAGTTTATTCTGTGTATTCTTCTTTTGTGAGTTCACGTTTTTGTGTTATTGTGGGTGTATTATGGTATTCTAGGCTCTCGTTCGGGTTGTCATCTGACTAGATTCGACTCTTGGCCGGTTTCTAGATGTAATTATATGTTATTTCCTTTTCTATGAAATCTATCGTTTCGAAAAAAAAAAAAAATTGTGCTAAATGAGTTCACATGACATGCAAATCTACCTTCACTACAACAAAAGGGAGTTTTAACAACATACATATTGCGACTTTTTTTATAAGTGTAATTAAAATTGATGTGTTTGTGACGCTATTTAAAATGTGTTACAAAGATAATATTACAACAACGCTTTTTAAAAAATGCAATCAAATCATGTCACTTTTTAATGAGTGTCACCGTGTTACTTCTTGGAATAAGAATTATCAGCACCTAAGATCAAATTGTCTTGTCACAATCTTACTACGTAGAATAAATTCTCAAGAAATTTAATGCCTATGATGGTCCTCTATGCAGGACACCACTTGATCTTAGCTTAATTAATATGGTAGTGAATAAAGGTCAATCAGTAGCTCAGTTCGAAAATTCAGGATAATATGGAGGATAATAGTGAGAGTGATTTACTTAACGAATTGTACACGATTAGACTTAGCATATCCAGTGAATATGTTGAGTAGATTTACGAGTAGTTCCATGCATGAACACTGAAAGGCCTTGAAAAAAGTACTTAAGTACTTAAAGTACACTCTTGAATACGGACTTCTATACTCGAGATTCCCAGTTGTAGCTGAAGGGTACTGTGACACAAGCTGGATATCATATTCGAGAGATTCTCACTCCACGAGTGAGTATGTTTGAAGGAGGTGAGGTTTCGTGGAAATCTACAATACAAACTTGTATAGCTCGGTCAACTATGGAATCAGAGTTCATCGCTTTAGATAAAGCCGGTGAAGAAGTCGAGTGGCTTCAGAACTTTTTATCCAATACTCCGTGTTGTAATAAACTTTTGCCGCATGTGATGTTTCACTGTGATAGTCAAGCTGCTATAGGAAGGGCGCAGAACAACATGTATAATAGTACGTCTAGACATATTTGTCGTAGACATAATACCGCTCGCCAGTTGATTACAAATGGTATTATTTCCATTGACTACGTGAAGTCTAAGGAATATTTTGGCTGGTCCATTTACTAAAAGAATGAATAGATCTATTGGCAATATTGCTAGAGGAATGAACTTAAAAATCTACAATGAAAAGAATGGTCCACTAACCCTACCTTGCTGAATGGAGATCCCATGAACTTGGTTCAAGTGGAAAAACTAAGTTTGAAAATTCAGCTGAGCACTTGGAACATAATAATATTCAAAGTTATTCCCTAAAGCAGTCCAAGTGCAATATTACCTATTGATTGTGATAAGGGTAAGTCATTTGGACTTCTATTGAATTCGTAATCTCTTAAACGTAGAGTAGTACATGATACTCTGGATAGGTAGGTCACCTATATATAAGTGCGAAATGACGATCGCTTCAAGTATAAACACTTATTATGAATTCAATGTGTTGTCCATGGACAAGACGAACACAACAATAGAATGTAATGGAGTTAAGGCTCTATTGTGTGAATTCATTGTCTTGGTGTACACTATGAAGAAATAGTTCAATGCATTATGTGCACAGGATGCCAGCATATACGATGATGTTTACTAAACGAGGTTCAAACCACAAGCTACCTTTTATGATTCAATAGAGTCTTGTGAGAATTGAGCACAGCATACATTTAATTTACACTCACGTGGAGATTGATAGATTAAATAGAGTATAAATGTTGTTAGGTTTATTATCGAGTGTAAAATGTCAAAGGGCCCCACTTGAAATTGTCCACTTGGTCTGAAAGAATTCAATTGCGTGGAGAAATGGAATTGAGCAATTGAACAAAAGTAATACTGTAACAACATGATCAAAATTTCACTTGTCCTACTGCAAATTTGCCCACTTGATCAGAATCAAATATCACCCTCATGTCTATATATATTTGTTTTGTTGCAGAACATAAAAAAATAGATACGAGAGAAAATTCTGGAGAAGAATAAAGAGAGAAGTGAAATGAAAACCAAGAAGAGAAATTCAGTTAAGGATACTTTTGTTATATATATAGAAAATCACTTCATTTATATGTGCTAATTCTCAACTCTGTTTTAGTTCGCCGAATCTCGTAAGTGTGGTGTGCTACAAATTTTAAGAACAATCGTTGTTGTATCTTCGGGAACGATATGCCTAAACCGCCAGCACTACACGTCTTGCGGGAAGAGTTTACTTACCTCCGCTATAATCTTTCCATTTTTTCAAACTGTAATTTATATTTAGTTCTATTGTAATTTTCTATTTTTAGTTTATTTATAAGAACTGAAAAATACACATCGGTTCATAGAATTCTCGTGTATTTCACCATTTTTTTTTTTTTTTGGTAACAATCACACCATATTTCTGCTCCAGTGAGTAACCTGCTCCATCATCTGTGATCACTCTAGATTTAGTTCACACATAAGATCTATCACATTTGCCTTTCTTTTTTTTTTTTCTTTCTGGACTTGTTCTACTTTCATTTTTCATTTCATGTTTCTTGAAAAAAATATGAAGTGGAAAAACATTCCAGCTGAAGTTACCACTGTCGTAATGGATGATACATTGTTTTTCCGACATTCAATGCTTGCATACATCATGTTGCTGTTCATTTAAAACACTTGCAGTAGTCATGTTCAGTAATTTATGTAAACAGCAACAATAACCGATCCAATGTTTGAGTAATAACTACTTCGATTTCGGTAGTTCTGTCATACGGTAATTTTTCAATGACCAACTACTTCGATTTGGCTAGTTTAGTTTGGTATTTTTTTATTTAATATCTTTTTTTTTTCTTTTTTGCTTAGTTCGGTTTGGTATTAACGAATGTTCAGTTCGGCTAGGGCTGAAATACGCAAACAATACATCCAAGTAGAGATGTTAAATGGTCATTGGTCCGGGCCGTCCCAATTAGCCCATAAAAAAAAGGTTAAGATCTTTTATTGGAAGCTCCTTTAAACTACAACAGGGGCAATATCCAGAGCCCACACGAGTATATGAACATGAACACAAAGTGGCAGCAAAAACTTCCTAATTGAAATATAAAATTCTTAAAATTAAATGGTTCTTAAATTCCTAAAACAAATTAGCTCTGGTGAACATTTCCAGCGCAAGGGAAGAGAAAAGGGAAAAGAAAAGAGAAACAAAAAAAAAAAAAAAAAAAAAAAAAAAAAA